TGGAAATTTGCTTGGACATGGTCAATTTGGTTATACATATGTCGCTACCGATAAAAAAACCGATGATCGTGTCGCGGTCAAGAAGATCGATAAGGCCAAGGTATGATGAATCAATAATTCTTGAAGATTCTCTCTTTCTAATCATAGAATTGTATTTTATTTAAGATTCTTGGAATTGTTTTTTTGACAAATTAATTGGTATGTTAAATTAAAAATATTGGATTGTTGTGTTTTTTGAGCTAACCGATGGATTTGATTTGTTGGGTAGATGACAATTCCGATAGCTGTGGAAGATGTAAAGAGAGAGGTGAAGATACTACAAGCTTTGACTGGTCATGAAAATGTGGTTCGGTTTTATAATGCCTTCGAGGACAAGAACTCTGTTTATATAGTTATGGAGTAAGTAAAAAGCCTTTAGGTCGTGTGTTTTTTTTTTCCTTGTGATGCAAGAAAGACAAAGTGCAAACTTCTGTTGCTAATGATATATATTGTTCTCTAGGTTATGCGAGGGTGGTGAATTACTTGATCGGATATTAGCCAGGTAACTTTAGTAATACGTTTATTTGTGTGTTGCTGAAATTTTAGAGTCTTATTACTTTTGAGTAACTAAACTATTGTTGTTGCGTTTTTACAGGAAAGATAGCCGTTATAGCGAGAGAGACGCGGCCGTGGTAGTGAGACAAATGCTGAAAGTTGCGGCTGAGTGTCATTTGCGCGGTTTGGTTCACCGAGATATGAAACCAGAGGTAGTTAATTACTTCATCACCATGTTTCTGAATGTTTAGTTGGTTTTATTCACAAGTATTGTTTTTTACTAATCATCTTCTCAAGCAGAATTTTCTGTTCAAATCAACCGAAGAAGATTCGCCTCTAAAAGCTACAGATTTCGGTTTATCAGACTTCATAAAGCCAGGTTAGTAGCAATGTGATTCAAAGTTGTCTTCACATATCACTTCTTTGATCTAACCATTATGTAACAATGTAGGCAAAAAGTTTCATGATATCGTTGGGAGCGCATACTATGTAGCACCTGAAGTGTTGAAACGCAGGTCGGGACCCGAATCAGATGTGTGGAGTATCGGTGTAATCAGTTACATTCTTCTCTGCGGGAGACGACCATTCTGGGATAAGACTGAAGACGGTATCTTCAAGGAGGTTTGTGTAGTTTCCCTGAAGTAAAAATCCATCAGAAATCATAAATCTCTAATCACGAAGATGTGTTTATAAACATAGGTCTTGAAGAACAAACCTGATTTCAGAAGAAAACCGTGGCCAACCATTAGCAACAGCGCCAAAGATTTTGTTAAGAAGTTGTTAGTAAAAGATCCGAGAGCGCGATTAACTGCTGCGCAAGCACTATGTAAGCATTTTGACGCCACTTTGCATCATTTTGTTCTTATCTCTTCTGATCTTTCTTTAAGGATTGTGGATTTTTTCTTGGTTGCAGCACATCCATGGGTTAGAGAAGGAGGAGATGCATCTGAGATTCCTATAGACATATCTGTCCTTAATAACATGCGTCAGTTTGTGAAATTTAGCCGCCTCAAGCAATTCGCTCTAAGGGTAATCAAGAAGAGAGATCTGTGTTTCATTTGAGGTTCTTATGTGTTTTTTTCTTTTTGTTGTTATTACCTGAGTTGTTTTTTCCGGGTCTAGGCTCTTGCAACGACGCTTGATGAAGAAGAGTTGGCTGATCTTAGAGACCAGTTCGATGCGATTGATGTTGACAAGAATGGCGCCATTAGCCTTGAAGAGATGAGGCAGGTAAAATGTAGACAAAACTATACCTCAATCACTACCTAACGTGATCAGCAAATACTAAACCTAACATCAGTTCTTGTTTTCTATAGGCTCTGGCGAAAGATCATCCTTGGAAGCTTAAGGATGCACGAGTTGCCGAGATTCTTCAAGCGGTATGTATATAATTTAAGTTAGTACTAATGACGATGAGATGATTTAACTAAATTCTCTAAATTGTGTTTGCTGTCTACAGATTGATAGCAACACAGATGGATTCGTGGACTTTGGGGAGTTTGTAGCGGCTGCACTACACGTAAATCAATTAGAGGAACACGATTCCGAAAAGTGGCAGCAGAGATCAAGAGCAGCATTTGAAAAATTCGACATAGATGGAGATGGATTTATAACAGCAGAGGAACTTCGAATGGTCAGCATATTTTATACTTCTTAATCAATCAGTGTCACATTACTAAAAAGTTCTATTTGGTATGTTTTGTTTTTGTAGCATACTGGCTTGAAAGGGTCCATTGAGCCACTTCTTGAAGAAGCAGATATTGACAATGATGGTAAAATCAGTCTCCAAGAGTTTCGTAGACTTTTGAGAACTGCAAGTATCAAATCAAGAAATGTTAGAAGCCCTCCTGGTTACCTTATTTCTCGCAAGGTCTAAGAAAATCTACAATATTTTGGAGAGGACTAACAAGAGAATCAAATCTAAAAGGTCTGGAAAAGTTTTGATCCCTTATATAGAAAAAAAAAAAAAAGAGCTGGGGATTGCAGTGTTTTCATGTGTTGTTGTAACATATTTTCATAAAAAATTTATAGGCAACGGCAAAAGAATCGATATAGTCAATTAGCACAATGTAGTGATGAGTTTTTGTATTGTGTATACCTGATGATCAATCAGAGTGTGTAAACACGCGTTTGTGAATCATGACCGAGTTAATTGGTATGTGTTATGAATGTTATATGGATGTCATTATAATTTTATAGGTCTATTCATATGTAAGTTATGAATAGAAAAAAGTTAAATAGTGTTTTTAATAAAAAAAGTTTGCTTTTTAGTCATTTGCAGCTAGATGTAGTTGTAGACTTAAATTCTAAAACTTTGATTATTATGACCTGGAAATGAAGAAATTCGTTATTATCTATCAATAGTAAAATGCATTGCATTAGGCTTGTATTTATCATAGTTGTGACAAGACTAAATAGCGTGTTTTATATATTAAGAAGTTAGGAATGAGGGGAGATGGCACACGCAAAGGCCAATCCACGTTTATATACTATTTTTGGTGTTTAGAAATTATAATTATCAATAGAAAAGTGCATTATAATTATACATTTAACTAACGAAAAGAAGATATTATAATCATCAATAGAAAAGTGCATTGCATTTGGCTTGTTTTAAAAGTGTGCGGAGAGTGCTTTTTAGGTATTAGGGTTAGAGAGATGGCACATGTAAAGGCCTAAATCATGTTTGTACATACTTTTTTGGTGTTTAGAAGTTTGAATGATCAATTTAGGTTTAAGTTGACTAACCATCAAAAGAGAGTGAACATGTCATTTCAGATAAAATGAGACTTATGTAATTATTGGTGAAGTTAAAGAATTTTTTAAAAAAAAAATCGGATTCATTGTAGAGATGATCAAATTATCCATTAGATTCGTTTTGCTTTGGTGTTTGTATTAATTTGATCTGAAAAATCTAGATGTCTATTGGCCCGTCTTAATTTATGGGAGAGCCTTGGCAAAACAAAACAAAAACTAAAATCTCATACAAAAAGAAAAATTTCGAAAAACTGGACCATGATACTCTTACCTACTTGCTAGTAGAATGCTTTATCCATCTAAAGCCTAAACTATAGTAAAACACAAATACCAATTTTAGAAAGTCCATATAATTATTTTACAGTGTTCTAAAAAGCTGTGTAGACGGTCGTTTAGGCTCCGACTAGGCGCTACATGTTCAGACGATGCCTAAATAACCGCCTCACTGCCTATGAATTTCGTTTTAGTGTAGTTGTCTAATTTTTAACCACATAAATTTATATTTATAAATTTTATCTCTATTTATATTGGGGACCCTATATATTGTTATAAACGTTCTTATGTTGTTTGCTATGAATTAAAGAAATATTTTTGTCTAATTTTTGTTTACGATTTTTTTTTTTATCTTTTTAGTTGTAGTTTATATGATTTGTATATATAGTATCATATTTCTATTGTTTTATGTTGTAAACGCACAAACCGCCTAAAATCACTTAGGCCCCGATTAGGCGTTCTAGGCGCTAGGTCACCGTCCGTTTAGCGTCTAGCGCTTTCTTGAACAATTTGTATGAGATATATATAGATACATATTGTATCATAATTTTGTAGTGTCTATTTACATTTTATGTATATTTAAAATACATAGAATGGTTAAAAATAAAGATGCAGAATAAAAAATAAATATGTTCAGAAATTTTTATTAATTAATCTATAAATATCAAATACTTATTACTGAAATTTTAAATAAATTTACCTTTTGGTATCAAAATATGAAACATCTTTTTCGTATCAAAATTTTGCCTTTCACTTTTCATTTTTCTTATTAATATTTAAAACAATTTGTGATATTTCAAATTAGTTACAACTTGGTAATTTTTTATTTTTTCTAATTAAGAATTAAGATAATAAGTAACATTAATCCCGCTTATGGATAACATTAATCCAAAGTTTCGTGATTTACCAAAACAAGAAAAGTTTGTGTTATATGATACCGAAAATAGAAAAGTTTGGTAGATGACAATTATAACTTCATTGCCACTATGCTCAAAGTTCGTTCGTTCGTTGAATCTTATCTTACTTCTCCCATTATTTCCAAATGTGGATAAGCCTTTTCGTCTGACTCAGCTTCCCAAGATTCCAAAACCATCCGACCCAACCCGGTTCGACTTTGCTTAACCGGACAATATATTTTAAATCTGCCTAAATCTTCAATTATTTAAAAGTTTAAAGCACCTCCGACAGAGGTTTCTTAAATAGTGTCTAAAATTTTTTTAAAAAATAAAAATAATTAAAAGTAAGAGAGAAAATGAGACACAGTGTCTCGGAGTTTCTCAAATGAGACACTATATCTCATTTTCTCTCTTACAATTCTGTATTCAATACTCGGTATTATTTGATTGATTAAAGTTTTTTTATAATTAATTAAAAGTTAAATAAATAATTTATTTATTAAAAAAATATTAAATTATTATATTTGAGAAACTTTTATAGTTAAACGTTAAACGTACTAATCACTTCTTCCCCTATAAAATAAAGCCTCTCTAATTTCTTATCTCCTTCCTCAAATCACACTGCATCAAATCGGAACTGTAACCAAAAAATAAAAATAAAACGCCGTCGTTTCACAATGCTCTCTTCTTCTTCAAGTTTCTTCGCTACTCCATTTCTCTCTTCTTCTTCTTCTCCGCCGTTCTCTCTTGTTTCACCACCGTCAATTGTTTCCCGGATCTCGCCGTCTCTTTCTGCAACCACCGCTTCCTACACCTGCGCCGATGATCCACCGAGATTACGCCAAATCCCGCAGCGATTTTCAGCGACCGCGTCTCTCTACGAGATCCTTGAAATTCCCGTCGGCTCGACTAGTCAAGAGATCAAATCGGCTTACCGACGATTAGCTAGGATCTGTCATCCCGATGTAGCGGGAAATAGTCGGAATAGCTCGTCGGCGGACGATTTTATGAAGATCCACGCGGCGTATTGCACGCTTTCGGATCCCGAGAAACGCGCCGTTTATGATCGGAGGAATCTTCGACGGAGCCGGCCGTTAACTGCTGGATACGGCAGTTACGGCGGACGGAATTGGGAAACGGATCAGTGCTGGTAGCGAGTTGACTCGGTGTGTCGAGTTGACCCAAACGCAGAGATTAATAGTAATTTGTAAATGCTAAATCTGGGAGATTAGCCGGTAATTAGTGTGCTAATATCACTCACCCATCAACACGTACTGCTGTTTATTCTACCACGTTAAAATTAACTAGGTTCTATATTTTCGTTATGTATCGGTTAATCATTTCATTTTTATGAAATATTTTGTGAAACATATACTATAAAATAACGATATTTCAATGAGTTAGTGTTTTTGTCAATTTTCTTGTTCAGTATTTGTATTTCAGAGTTTAAGAAAATAAAGAATCATGACGTTTATCACGATAATTATTTAGTCAATTTAAAATGCTTTTACTAGGGCAACCAAAATAGCTAAGCAAATACGACAGACAAGATTCTTTTCTTCTCGTCATGATAATCTATGTATCAACATCACATGCCATGTTCTGGAACATTTGCATCCCACGAATTTTTCATATTTTGATAAAAACTCAAAGGCATTATTTTTAAGAGCTCGTATGAAATCAAAACCTTAGCTATTTCTTTTGAAATCCTTAAAATAGATAGGCCTAATTCATTTTTGATCAAAAAAACAAAAGCCCAATTCATAAGTTGAATCATGGGCCTGATTCAAAATGCACACGCGGTAACTGCCGGCGATAAAGAAGGAAGCTGACGTGGCGAATTAAAGGTCAAAATCGATATTATAGATCTCGCAATTTAGGGTTTTCATTTTACCCTTTTTTGGTTTGTTTTCTCTCTCTGTACGAACAAACTGCTTCGAGTTTTTCTCAACCTTTTTCTCTGATCCAAGTGGCGATGGAAGATCAATCGGCGGCGAGATATATCGGAAAAGTCAATTGGTTTGGCGATGGTAAAGGCTACGGTTTCATTACTCCCGATGATGGAGGCGAAGAGCTTTTTGTTCATCAATCTTCAATCGTTTCCGATGGTTACCGTAGCTTAACTGTTGGTGAATCGGTTGAATACTCAATCACGCTTGGAAGCGACGGGAAGACTAAGGCCGTTAATGTTACTGCTCCTGGCGGCGGTTCTCTTAATAAGAAGGAAAATAGCTCCCGCGGAAACGGTGGTAGTTGTTTTAATTGCGGTGAGGTTGGTCATATGGCTAAGGATTGTGACGGTGGTGGTGGTGGGAGAAGCTATGGAGGTGGTGGTGGTCGTAGATCTGGCGGTGAAGGTACCTGTTACGTGTGTGGTGATGTGGGACACTTCGCTAGGGATTGTAGGCAAAGCGGCGGTGGAAACAGTGGTGGAGGAGGAGGTGGTGGTCCGTGTTATAGTTGCGGAGAGGTTGGTCATTTGGCAAAGGATTGTCGTGGTGGTTCTGGTGGGAATAGATACGGAGGTGGTGGTCGTGGATCTGGCAGTGATGGATGCTACCTGTGTGGTGGTGTTGGACATTTCGCTAGGGATTGTAGGCAAAATGGTGGTGGGAACGTTGGAGGTGGTGGCGGCGGTGGAAACACATGTTATACATGTGGCGGAGTTGGCCACATTGCGAGAGTTTGCACCAGCAAGAGACCTTCTGGTGGTGCTTGTTACGAATGTGGAGAAACTGGCCATTTGGCTCGTGACTGTGATCGGAGAGGAAGCGGAAGCAGCGGTGGTGGAGGTGGAGGTGGCGGTGGCAGTGGCAAGTGCTTCAATTGCGGCAAGGAAGGTCACTTTGCTAGGGAATGTTCTTCGGTTGCTTAACAAAAAGATGCAAAGAAGAGTAATGTTCATATACTCTATTAAATCTACCTAAGCTCCGTTTTGGTGACTATAATGTGATTGCTAAAGTCGTTTAGGATGTTTACGAATGGTTGTTTTGGGAGATTTTGATCTCTATATTACTCTTTTGACTGGTTTTTGCAAACCTGTTCACTGCTTTTGTTGATGTTGATGCCATAAGTTTGAGACTTGAATGATATGTGTGATTTCCTTCGTTGCAGTTTCTTGTTTTTCCTTACAATGAGTGTGCTTGTATGACTTGAAAATTCATTATATGGTCACTTCTGTTTTATACCAAGATTGAGAGTCCTTTTTGCTAACTTGTCGTTTCCATAATATAATCTGCATTGCTGATTTTCTTGCTCTTGATTAAACAGAGATAGTAGCTTAAGAAGACTCTTTTAATATTTCAGTTTCCTTAGATCTTGTTTTAGGAGAATCTCCTGAACAGAGGAGAGACATGGTGTGATCTTGTAGTTCTTATACCGGTTCGTGGTTTCTCTTTCTCTACTACTATCCTGATGTTTTAAAAAGAAAAATTTAAGTTAATCCCGTTAGTTTTAACCTAATTACACTTGTGATTAGCACAATCCTACTGAATCTTTCGGATTTAAACATTAGTATCCCACCATGTTTATCTTATCCCAAGTCACAATGTTGTTGACCCAACCCCCAACAGGCCAACACCTCCTCTATTTCCTCTAATAATAATAATACGTAATCCCACTAATTACCATACATCTAACCTACTCAATACATGTCTCTTTCCTACATCAAAGTCTTGAAATTTTTTTGAACTTTTTCCTTAAACAAACAAAAGAGAACTTTTCCTCCTCTAAACCTTTTCTAGTTTTGAATTTAGGAAGATCCTCGACAAATAGCATCACAATATAAAATGTAAAATTTTGAAAAAGGAAAATAAATAAAATAACTGAATTCGTAATTTCCATGAATCAATGAGTTACCAAAAAAAGAAAAGGAAATGAATCAATGAACATGTATTTGATTCTGCATTGGCAAAACTCGTATAGGAAAAGTTGATTTTATGAAACTTTCCATTACACAAATCCCTAATCCCTAATTCTCTTATATAAACATAATCTCCAACTTCTCATTGATCATACAACATCACAATTCTCACGGGAACAATGGGTTTGGCTAAAGTCTCTTGCTTTCTCTTTGCGATTCTGTTTTTCATCAATGGTGGTTCCTCCACCACTTTCACCATCGTTAACCAGTGTAACTACACCGTCTGGCCTGGACTTCTCTCCGGCGCCGGCACCACTCCATTACCAACCACCGGTTTCTCCCTCAGCTCGTCCGAGTCACGACTCATCTCCATACCCACCGCTTGGTCCGGCCGCATATGGGGACGCACGCTCTGCAACCAAAACGAGAACACCGGAAAATTCACTTGCGTCACCGGCGACTGTGGCTCATCCCAAATCGAATGCTCCGGAGCAGGAGCAATCCCTCCAGCTACATTAGCCGAGTTCACACTCAACGGCGACGGAAACCTCGATTTCTTCGACGTCAGCCTCGTCGATGGCTACAACGTCCCAATGACGATCGTCCCTCACGGCGGAGCTATTGGAGTCGGTAAGTGTAACGCAACGGGTTGCGCGGTGGATCTTAACGGCGTATGTCCGGAACAGCTGAAAGTAACAGTTGAAGCGGGAACGGCTGCTGTAGCGTGCAAGAGCGCTTGCGAGGCGTTTGGAACGCCGGAGTTTTGTTGTAGTGGCGCGTTTGGAACGCCGGACACGTGTAAGCCGAGTGAGTACTCTGGTTTCTTCAAGAAAGCTTGTCCGACGGCTTATAGTTACGCTTACGACGACGGTACAAGCACTTTTACTTGCTCCGGTGCTGATTACGTCATCACTTTCTGTCCTTCTCCTTCCTCAAGGTAATATTTTTGTTATTAAATTTACGAATAAGGATATTAATATTCGAAAAATGTTAATTTTAGTGTTTTTGGTTTTGACAAAAAAAATGTTTTTGGTAATTTTAAAAGGCTTGTTTCCGATTCTTAATAGAAAAGTAAAGAGTTTCCTAGCTAGGATTATTTTACCCTATCAAAATCAAAACTGTTTAAAACCAAACCGAATATTAGTATTTGGTTTCTATTCAAATTTTAACAATTTTTTATTTTTTTCTATGATAACAAAAATTAACTTAGGATTTTGTAACGGTTTTACTTTTTTTTGTTTGTTCTGTTTTTAAATCAGTGAAGACTTGAAGAGTGCATCTCCTCCGCGTCTGCAACCGGATGCGCTTAGCGTTTCCGACGCGTCGCGAAGAATCTCAGTTGCGTTATCATTGGGCGTTTTGGCTGTTGCGGTTTCTTGGGTGGGTAGTGGACTTTAGTGATAAAATACGGCACCGACTATTTCTTTTTTTTTGTTCATTCTAGTTTTTTCATTTTTTGATTAGGAAAATTTTATTTTATTTATGTGATTGATTTTGTTGCGAATCGAAACGTGAAAGAGTTTTCACTAAATTACAGAATTTATCTTTATCATTATTTGAAATATTGACTATATATTTACAACATATAGTTACACTATTCGAGTAATATATACATTATTCTAGTTTTCATTAAATTATAGAATTTATATATATCATTATTTGAAATATTGACTTTATATTTACAACATATAAATAGTTAAATTATTTAGTAATAGTTAAATAGTTACACAACAATAATACTAAATAGTTTAATTTTTCCTTTTATGCATAAAGCATGTATATATTGATTTTAAATGATTTTTTTCTTTTATTTGTCAACGTGAATCAGTATATTAAACTAGTGTTTTTGGTCAATACCTCTGCCGCCAAAAAGAAAACAGAGTGCTCGAATCCAACGGCGGATAGCACCGGATTTAAAAAGAATATATTTGGACTATTAATATACACAATTTAAACTGATTCTTTGTTCAGAGACTCTAGAAAAATTAATTCAGCAACAAAATGGATTCTTTACACGTTATAAAATCCTTTCTTCTTCTTCTTCTTATCATTGTTTCTATTGATCTTCCTCGCACGACTTCATCAAACTCAGAACCAAAAGTTATTACTATCGATGTAAGCCAAGCCCAGAAACTTCTTGATTCTGGCTACACGTTTCTTGATGTCAGGTATATCTTAAAACCTTTCAGATTCAGTCATGTCTTTATTGTTGTTTGTGTCTTTGATTTCTGAAGTTTGAGAACTGTTAAACACAGAACTGTTGAAGAATTCGAGGAAGGCCATGTTGATTCAGAGAAAGTCTTCAATGTTCCTTACTGGTTATATTCTCCACAGGGGCAAGAGATTAACCCTAATTTCTTGAAACATGTTTCATCTCTCTGTAACCAAACCAATCATCTCGTCGTGGTAATAACAGAGTCTTGTCCTAATCATGTGTAAGTGGAAGTATATTTTGAAGTCACTGGATATGAATCTAGAATCTGTTGTTTTGATCTTGTTTTGTAGGGATGTAAATCGGGAGTTAGATCATTATATGCTACCAAAGTTCTTGTTTCTTCTGTAAGTAACAAAGACTTTCAAGATTTATAAATCTTTTCTTTTTTTTTCTTGTAACGTGAACAGAAACAGAGGATCTGGGTCTCTATATTTGTTTCTTCTTTGAATCTATCTGAGTTTATTAATGAGATTTAATGGGATTGTTTGATAATGTGATAGGGCTTCAAGAATGTTAAAAACATGGACGGTGGTTACATTGCTTGGGTCGACAAGAGATTTCCAGTTAAAGTGGAACACAAGGAACTCAAGTATGATGAGCTTTGATTCAGATTCTTCAAATACAAGCATCTTAATGTATTTTTTTACTTTAAATCTACGTAGAGAATGTGTAAATGTATTCACTAATTATATTGCAAAAACACAAGATTTGGGGTTCAAGGTTTAGAGAGATGAAAAAATAGGCACGCCGGGTAATGAAGATCCGGAATCGACAATGTATGTATTCCCGGAGATATATTGAGACGAGTCGTGAATGAGGTAGCGAACGAGAGATGTAAGCCCCGGATCCACTGCCTGTTGTACCTTTAATGGGACTATCCGTTCATTAACGTTCTTGAGCCACTCTTTTTGCATAAGACCTTGTGTGATCTCTGACTTTAAAAGCCCCGGTGCGATCGAATTCACTCTGATCTTGTAAACACCTAACCCAACAGCCATCATCCTTGTCATGGTGTCAACACCGCCTTTAGAACAAGCATACGCGACTCCACCAGGCACCTGACCGCGGTGGAGGCCAGAGACTGATAATATGCTTATCACCGAGCCACCACGTTTAGCGTCGCGCATTAAAATGCATACATATTTGGAGACTAACCAAGTTCCCGTTAAGTTGGTCTTGATGACTTTGTCCCACTCTGTCTTCGGACAAATACAAACTCGACTTGACATTGCCTCTAAATCCCGCATTGTTGATCAACACATCGATCTTTCCAAAGATTTACCAAGCTTCCTTAACCGCTTTTTGAATGGTGGGTGCGTCTGATGAAACGTCTAGCTCAAGAGCTGCAGCTTGAAGTCCGGCTGAATATTCGAAGCTATTTATTTCAGAGCAGAGAGATTTGAGACGATCGACACGACGAGCTTCTGCGATAATCTTACAGCCAGCTTTGGCTAGATCAAGACATACCTCTCTTCCTATACCAGAGGAAGCTCCTGTCACAAGAACCACTTTGTCTTTAAGTTCACACCATGGCTCTAGTTGCTTCAACACCTGCTTTGTTGGAGTCATCATGAAAGATGATTACAAAGCCTATCTGATAAATTTGAATATAATTAAGATAATGAGATATAAGAGAAAAAGTATCTCACAGTTTGATGATTACTCATATTGTTTCTCTTTGCGTGTTCTTCGGTGGAGAAGGAGAAGCCCATAACATAGTTTAAATACAAAGACTTGTCTCTAAACCAAAACAACAATTTAACGTGGCAATTTAAATCTGTAACGGATTTGTCTATCAACCAAACTTACAAAACCTTTTAGAGAATTAGAATCAGTGGAGTCTAAGTCTTTATTGTTAGTTGGATATTGTCTGGTGATTTCTGGAATTTGAGAGCTATTAATACAGAACTGTTTGAAGAATTTGAGAAACGACATGTTATCAGAGAAACTCTTTAATGTTCCTTGCTAGTTCTATAACCCACAAGGTCAAGAAAATTACCCAAGTTGGAAACATATTTCAAATCCCCTGTTCTGTGTGTGTGTTTTTTTGAAACGTGAATAAAAGACTATATGGGCAGGGCCGGCCCTGAATTGTTTTGGGCCAAAGCTTAAAAAAAAAGAATCAGGTTATTTAAGATGCTTTAGAAAATTTGGGCCAATTGTTATAAAAATAAATTAGTTTTGGGCCAATTTGTAAATAATTTTGGCTAGTGGATTTCAGAAAAATATTTTGGGCCTGGATATGGGTCTCTGTTAATGTTTTTGCCTTGAACCAATCTAAGTTTCTTAATGAGATTTTTTTTTTTCATATGTGAATTTCATTAACCATTAAGAAAAGTAAAGTTATGTTCCTTTAACAAGGATCAAGAGCAATCACCAACAAAGACAAAATGGTATTACACTAAGTAACACAACTCTCATCTTTATACGATCCTCCATTGTTATGCTGCGAGCAATAAAGTAAACACTTATGTTTGTCTTCTATTCTTTATACTCAAGACGCCAATCCAAAATAAACCTGAGAGTCCTAAGAATTCTTTCAACATAATTTATGAAAGAGGGCCAAGTTTGCGCTCTGGAGACAGAGCTAACCAGATCCTTGCAATCGATAGCAAAATTTTAAAAATTCAATCATGGATAGTCGTTATATTGTTAGGATCGAAAAAAAAAATTTATTTTGTTAACTAAATGTAAAATAGTTAATTATATAATAATATTCACGATAATTTAAGTTTTAAGTCAAGCAATGACGTGTTAATAGTTCAAAGTATGTCATTTTACATATGTAATAAATTTGGACAAAATACCATGTTTTTATTAACATCTAATTCATTTATTTATTTGAAATTTTGTACAAAAATTGATATAGTAAGAGTACATCAATATTCATTACTAAACAAATAAAAATATATATCCACAAATACAACCGATTATTAAAAAAACGATAGGAAAGTGAATTTTTAGATGTTTTCGACACCATGTTATTTAGAGTAAATTATAGCCATAATTATTTTATCAAATATTATTATTCTATTTTTGTCGTCAAAATAGCCTGTTATTTAATTAAACAACACGATTAAACTTAGAAAAACTTGACTTCCTCTTTACTAAGAATTTTTTTTTCTTCAATCCTTTTATTGTTACATTTAAATAAATATAATAACATTGTAATAATTTAGAGCAACTGCATATTAAATTATTTATTATTAGTACACTCTTTTTATGAGTTTGATGCAATATCCGAGACAAATAGACCGACCGACATGAGAAAAATGAACCGTGTAACCGCGCGGAAAAGATGTCGACAAGGTTAAGTAATAAACCGAACCGGTTTACACGCGTTACTTACGCGCAACCTCCACGTAATCTGACACTGACAGATACAGAGATACTTATAAACTTGGTCACTTTCCTTCCTCTTCAAATAAATATCTTTAATCAATTCAGCACCAAACCAAGTCTTCTTCATTCTTCAATCATTTTCCTCCGATTTGAAATCTCCGGCGACAATGGAACCCTCCGGCGACAAGCAAACTTCATCTCTCTACCCTACTGTTGACACATCGAATCCCGAAGCTCCTATAAACCCTAGCTCTTCATCATCTACTAATAATCTCTATCCTTCTCTCGATATGAATGATCTCGCTCGTAATCTCTTCCCTGAGCAACCGGAGACGAGTTCCGTTCCCGTTGCGGCTCCTCCTGCAGCGACGGAGGAAGTAATTTTGAAAATCTCCGGCGCGATTCTTCACTTAATCGACACATCTTACAGCGTCGAGCTCGCTTGCGGCGATCTTTCGATCATCCGTATTGTTCAAGGAGAGAATGTTGTCGCTGTTCTCGCTCGTGTTGGAGATGAGATTCAATGGCCGTTGACTAAGGATGAGAACTCCGTCAAAGTCGATGAGTCTCATTACTTCTTCACGCTTCGTCCTACCAAAGAAATCGCACATGATTCAAGCGACGAGGAAGACGGAGCGAAAAACACTAACGAGATGTTGAACTACGGACTTACAATTGCTTCTAAAGGTCAAGAGCATCTGTTGGTGGAGCTTGAGAAGATCTTGGAGGATTATAGTTGTTTCACGGTGCAGGAAGTGTCGGAGGAAGCGAAGGAAGCAGGGGAAAAGGTTTTGGATGTGACGGTGGCGAGAGAGACGTCGCCGGTGGAGCTTACTGGAGAGAGGAAAGAGATTGTGGAGAGACAATGTTCGGCTTATTGGACGACTTTAGCTCCGAATGTGGAGGATTATAGCGGGAAGGCGGCGAAGCTGATTGCAACTGGTTCAGGACATTTGATAAAAGGGATTCTTTGGTGTGGAGATGTGACTATGGATAGGCTCATTTGGGGAAATGGTTTCATGAAAAGGAGATTGTCAAAGGCTGAGAAGGAGAGTGAAGTTCACCCTGACACCTTGAAAAGAATCAGGAGGTATGAATGGTTTCTTGTAAATTGAATTGTGGTTTTGATTATAGTCACTTTTGCCTGATTCAAATTAAAGTGTTTCATATGTTTTGGTTTTGCTTTGTGAGGTTTGTGATGTTTCTTCTAGTTAGTTTCTGGAAAAGGGTTTGTGCTAAATAGGTGGAATGTGTTTTCTATCTTAGGAAAATCTCTAGACATGAGTTTTAATTGCTGATCTTGATTTTTTTATGGTGTGTCATGGAGAGTGTAACTTGAAAGCTGAGAAGACAGTTTTTAATATGTCGTCTTTAGATGTTCCAAACATGACAATGCTGAATGCTGCATATGGTGTTGTTATATGTCATTATTGCGACTCATAGTTATGTGTATTGGTGTCTCGTTATGTTTTTGCCTATTCAGAGTGAAGAGGATGACCAAAATGACAGAGAGTGTAGCAAACAGCATACTGTCTGGAGTCCTTAAAGTTTCTGGATTCTTCACAAGTTCAGTGGCAAACACCAAAGTAGGAAAGAAATTCTTTAGTCTTCTTCCTGGAGAAGTCATCCTTGCATCTCTTGACGGATTCAGTAAGTACACTAATCTTATATCATATAATATACTTAACTTGACTTTATGCAGCTATCTTTAGATTTCATAATCATTGAAACTGTTGATTCCTGTTTTGATAGATAAGGTCTGTGATGCTGTTGAAGTAGCTGGGAGGAATGTAATGTCAACCTCTTCCACTGTCACAACTGAACTTGTTGATCACAAGTAAGTAAATCGAATATCTGGGATTTGAAACTCTTGGTTATTCGGGTATGGAAGTGTTTAAGAGAAGAATGTAAATTTTGGTTTTGATGAATGTAGGTATGGTGGTAAAGCGGCTGAGGCAACAAACGAAGGGCTCGATGCAGCAGGATATGCGATTGGCACAGCCTGGGTTGCTTTCAAAATCAGAAAGGCTATTAACCCTAAGAGTGTACTCAAGCCTTCGACGCTTGCAAAGACTGCCATTAGATCTGCAGCTTCACAAAAGAAAGCGTAGGAAGGCTTTCCTGATGAAGCAAAACAGACTCATTTGTCCTGTTTGTTTGTATCGTCTTGTTGTCTTCTGATACAGAAGTAAAACTGAAAAGAGGTGTGGATTAGTAGTTGTTGTGAAGTGTTTATGTTTCTCTATGAGAATCATGTAATGTCTCTGAGTTGATACGGAATATGTGCTGTATTTGTAAGTTGGCCAAATCAAGATTCCTTGAAATAAGTGAGTGAGTGATTGCATCATGCATGATACTCACTCTTTTCAGCTAACTAGCAATGGTAAAAAAATCTCCCAAAGATAAAGTTCAAGATGCATTCGACTATTTCAAAGAAATGTCTGGAAGAGCCACAACAGAGTTTACATGTAGTAGAGGCCATGTCTCTGAGATTCCAGATAAGTGATAACAATGGTCAGATTTATACAATCGAAGATGCCAGAAAAAGAAAACAGTAGTTAATAATAATAATCAGGTTAGCTGCCTGATTTGCACTGAGCTTGGAACATAAGAACAGACAAGTGGGTAACAACTCGAGTCTGCATCTTCCCCAAGATCCACTTTTCTGAAGTATCCATTCTTCCCAATAATGTAAGCCATGCCACGATCGGTAGGGGCATCCATATCTCTATCAAAAACCACAACAACATTCTTCTTCTGGTCAATGAAGAAACTCCCAGCATGGGCCAGGAACTCAAAACGAGTGAGTGCTCTCATATCAACCGCTAAGAACAACTTGTTCCATGAAACCTCTGTAGGCTCAATCTTGCTCGTAATCCAAATCTCCATCCACTTTGTACGATTGCTCTGAAACAACACCGCAAGCTGATCTTCTCCAACACTAGAGAGAGTAACAATATCTTCCCAAGTAGGAGAAGAGTTAAAAGGCAGAGGCAGACGCGGTCCAAATCTCTCTGATGTGAAATCAAAACATATCAAGAAATCAATATCCTCTCCTCCTCTGTCATACTTATCTTTAGCATACCAGTAAGTATTCCCCTTAAGAGACAATCCACGGTTATAAGCCTCTATATCGCAGGCAGGACTCACATCAAGAACAACCTTCCATGAATTAGACTCAAAACTATAGACTTCAAACTCACAAATCTGATCCTGTGCACTAAAAGTGTAATAATTATCCTTAAATCTCAAGATTTTGTGGTTCTTATTCTCGTCGTACCCAAAAGCGTAACTATCCAAAATGTGATAAGAATTTCTGGGTTTGATCCATCTTATTTGCCCAAAATAAGGATTCCAAACCACAAGCCTAAAGTTAAGGTCTTTGGTGATGCATAAGAGTAAGCCATCGCAGTGAAAGACCTTAGATACATTATCGACTTGATGATGATTTGCATCATCGTTTAAGCTAATAAGTGTACCTTTAGGCGTAAAAGATGGATCAACATCGCTGTGGATATCGACACTCGTCAGATAAACCCTAAAATTCCTCATCATGATCACCTCAAACTCTTTCAATTGCTTCTTCTTTGCTTCGATGATTTGCTTCTTGTGAAAGCTCCGATCTTTGGATAAATCGTTCCATTTTTTGCAAGTGAACCGCACTGCTCTTAGAGATGTCAACGGAACCTTACTGAGAATCTCCGCTAACAAATCCCGTGGAAGATCTGACATTATCGTCATTGTTGAACTATTGAGTTAGGATCAGGATCAAGCTTAAGCTTCGAAACAAAAACTCCCCTCCCCCCTTGCCAATTTCTTCCATGGAGGTGCTTTCGTGGGCTTTTGAAAGCACATAGAAACCCACTGGGCCAATCGTGGGCTTTCAATGTTTCTTTTTTAGCAAGAAACGATTTTATTTTTATTATTCTTTTCTGAGAGGCGAGAGCATCTATATATACATTTCTTTTGAGTATTTTTAGCAAATAAATCCTAGAGTTCCATCTTATTTACGAGTCCATGCCATTGACATTTATTATTTACTTTTACAAAATTTAAATAAAAGATATTAACCAAACAATATCTTTCCTAATTTGTTTCCAAAAATCTCAACACAATTTTTCCATATATCTTCAAAAAAATTTATAGCAAATAATTATATTAACATTTTGCATAGCAATACAAATACTAATTTATAATAATCAAAATATTCACATAGAAAAATCATATACACATACAAGAAAAAGAACTATATTTATCATCATTTAAGCCGTTGCTTTATTTAAATAAAATAAAAACACAAAAACTTGAAATCATATATTTTATATGATAAATTTAAAATATATATTAGTAGTATAAATTTAAAATCATTCAAAGAACGGTATACCACGGGTGAGATCCTATTTATTGGATTTTATAACAATAATAATTTTTTTTTTTTGGATTTTATGACACTAATAATTTAGCTAACGGGATAATGTAGACGGGTTTATATGGAATGACGGGTTTGGGTCGATATTAATAAATAACGGTATATCATGGATGAAATCATAAAATTAACAATCAAAATACAATTATACAATCTTAAACACAAAACAAAAGAAACAATATTAACAAAACAAATACAACTTCAAATTTAAAATTTTTAGTTATAAAAAAGTCGACCCACGGTATATTGCGGAGTAAAATATTCAAAATTTTAAAATCCACCATACATCGTTACTTAAAAAAAAAGTATGTTTTTGTATCTATACTTCAAAAATTGAAACCTAAACAATAGTAATCATACACTAAATAATACATAGATAGATATCTACATTTAAAAATACAAATTAATATGATATATCTTCAGTTAATCTTTATAGAACTAACATTATATTTTTTAAAAAAATATAGCCTCTCGGTGTACCGCGGGTTAAATTCTAGTGTTGATATATATACCAAAATATATATCTAGTTATCTACTATAAGAAATCGGTAATTGAATTTGGAGGTTTTCTTTGGAAACACTTCAAAAAAAAAAGAATTTATTGAGTTTTATTTTTTACCAATTTTAGATTTCTTTTGGTTATAAATAATAATTTTTTTTTGCTTTTATAGATTCCATTTATTAACTAGTCCATAAAATCGCTTACTGTTAGTTAGAGGTTTTAGTTTCTATAGATGCTGGAGTACGGTCGATTAGTACCTAGCATTTTATTTGAACATTGATAATTTGATAAATTTTGATATACAACTGTCCAAAAATGGAAATAAGGAATAATTCTAAAGCGTCAAATATTTAAAAATAAAATTGAAACTATTCTATATTCAGAAAATCTTTTAAACATTCGTATCTGATTCAATAAACCCAAGTAGTTGACCCTGGTCTGTTTCTAGAATCTATTATGAAACTAAGAAAATACTCCCTCTATCCCATTTTATAAGATGTTTTGTGTAAAAATACAAAGATTAAGAAATAATTAATGTTTATTTTTATAGAAATTTAGCCAATAGAAAAAAAGACTGCAGAATTTAAATGGTCATAACATACTAAATAAACATAAATTATGCATAAAAATCTGGAAAAAATCTTATAAAATAGAACAAAGATAAAATGCTAAAACATCCTATAATTTGGGACCGAAGGAGTACAAAATAGTGATTGGTCTTATACATAGATGATGATAGGTCGTTTTTTTTTTTTTTTTATGAGAATGACCAAAATGTTGTTAATTAGATGTTTTAGATTATCAATGATGAGTTATAGTCGATTAGTACCTAACTTGACCATTAATAATTTGATATAAAAATAAAACTGTCAAAAAATGGAAATAACAAAATCTAAAACGTCAAATTATTTTAAATGCAAAAACATTACATATTCAGAAATCTTCAATCCATTTGATTCGTATCTGGTATCTGATTCAACAGAACCAACGTCTATTATTCCTAGAATTTGTTAGAAACTTAAGAAAATTATAAAATAATAATCACTCATTTATATAAGCTTACGCATAGGTCCACATAAATATTACAAAAAAGATCTATAGAACCAAAAGGGTAATGGAAGACTGATAGGAGATCGAATCAAATGCCCTATAATTGTCGAAACCACCAATGGTTACTAAGTGCTTTGCACCATTTAATCTTATCCTCTTCTTATTTTTTTTTATATATGTTATAAATATAAATCTTAAAATCCATTTATATGAGATAATATATATATATATGCTTACCGCATCTTCACTTTAAATTTCTTGTCCGATTCTCTCGTGGGAAATTTTTAAACAAGTCTTAATCGAGGATGTTTATCATTTCTTTGCTATTTTATATTTTCAATAACTGCCTCCTTCACACTGATTGTGTAAGATTATTTTACTATACATAATTAGAAAGAAATTGACCCAGCGTCTAAACTTTATTTAGCAAAGATATCATACTTTTCATGAGTTATTCTTAAGCTTAAAGTTTGTTTTACCAATGATCTATCAACATTTCTTAAATATTTTGGGGATATTTTAAAAATATATGTCATAATAATGGAATAATTACGTACTAGAATAATTTTTGTTTATTGTGATTTATGATTAACGGTTTAATTAGTTTAAAGGAAGTTGAATTTTCTTTTCTATTTAACATGTATGGTTTGGTTAAAGCATCGTCAAATTCAGAACTAATTCAGAAATTAGATTAAACCAGTATGTTTCCCCACACACAAAAAAAAAAAATTATAAATTTTTTTATGTTTTAGAAAAACATTAGCTTTTCATTTTCTTCTTTGTCTTGTGATATTAAACATGTATGTTGTTCAGCTCAAGTGTTTCCACTAAACTATTCATCTGATAAATCAGCTATTATCATAGTATATTTTAGTAAATCGTATTTCCATTTACTGTTTATGGCTAACAAATCTTATTATGTGGCAAAGATCTTTATCATTCGTAATTTAATCCTATTTGATGGTTTAGCACCTCAACCATGCATTAAATATAATACCTAAATTTATATGCGTATTAGAATTTGAAAGCTGTATATCCCATACATGTTAGTTATTATTATCAACTTGGCTTTTGTTTCCACAACCAAAATGAGCCACCACCAAAGAGCACACAATGTTAATTAAAAAGATAATATAAGATTATGATCTATGCATATCCATATGCATATAATTAAGTGGAATGTTTGTGAGACTTTGAAGATTCAAAAGGCTTACAAGTTTCACTAACCAGTAACCATGCATGCACATTTCTTTTTTAAGACACATCATTACCATTCACCTTAAGTCTTCCAAATAGATCCTTTTGAGATTTTGTTTAGATTTTCAAATCTTTTTTCTTTGGATTGTGATCTCATTTGTTATTGATTTGATGCGAAAGCTAGATTTGAATCTTGCTTTAAACACAAACAAACCGAAAAATTATATTAGCAGATTATATCTAAGAATTAAACTATACATGTTTTATCATCTAGATGAGTTGAGTATATGTATTTAATTACGATTTATACTTGAATGTTTGAATCTCTATGAATTAAAATTTGAAATATATTAATTACTTCAAATGATGAGATATATTCATATATTTAGCCACACTACAATCTTGTCTATCAACCTTTTTTTTTTTTTTTAACGAATATATGTATTCCACTGGATTGAAGAGCAATCCTTTTCAATACCTTGCAGAATCGAATTTAAGATATTGAGAGGAATGGTAATTGACTTAGTTGAGTTAGCCAATTTTGATCAACCGGATAATATTCATACAACACATAAAGAAAAATCAAATATCTCAAAGGAAGATACCTTCAAACCAAAAAAGAACCTTAAATATCTATTTATTTTTTAATCTACCTTAAATATATTTGACTTATTAAAGAGAGCTATGAATAAATTTGTAACTTTATTTTACCAAATTCACGGGTCGTTAATATCACCGACTATGCTTTATAGATTTGTTACTTGATCTTGAAGCTCCAAAAGATTCTTACTAAAGTTTGGTCAAAATTAATTATCACCATTGATATGATGAAAGCAAATTTTTTCCTTCCCATCAGTGACAGTTCAACCGTTTTTTCCCGTTAATCAGTGACAATTTTTTCATTAACCAATAACCTTAAATAGACTACTGAAAAAAGTTAAAGACATACTAAGCTTTTCAAAATCCATGTTGAGATGTTGAGCAAACAAAAATACTCTTCTCTTTCAATTTATTTGTAGTTTAACCAATTTTTTTTTTTTGCAAAATAATTGTTATTTTCAGTTTTCTATACAAAAAATTAAATGTATTTAATAGTTTTTGACCAATTATATTTTACAGCATGTTTTTATTGGTTGAATTAGTTGTAGTTAAGAATATTTTTATGTTAAAAATGTAAATTAAATGAGATTTTTGTGATTTCTTAATCTGTGCAAAAACCTTAAAATACAAATAAATTGAAACAGAGGGAGTATTGCTTAAGGGCCGATTAAGTTCTTTTTGCTCTCTCTTTTTAATTTCAAAAACTGATTTGTTTAGCTTGTTTAGTTCGTAGTATATACAAGGAAAGGAAATGGTCATATGTTTGTAATATCAAAACGGTATATGTTTTTAATGCTCTTCTAATTAAAAGTTGGCTATTGTACTAATGTGTGTGAATTGTGTTGGTCATTTGAGTTGTAACTTGTAATTGTAAACTACATGTATCCAACAGTAACAGTGCATTAAATTCTATATAATATTTGATAAAAGTTAATTTTATAAAAAAAATTATTAGCACTTACAACACAACATTATTACACTATAAGGAGATAATAATTTATTAGATCTCACACTTATCATTTTTATTGAAAACATAATATATTTTCTATAAAAATAATATTTTTAGATTTTTGATCAATTATAAATTTAAAATTTTGAATATTTATAATTACCTTTACCAAAAATTAATTATTATTTTGTTATCTAATTTTCATATGTATATTTTT